CCCTCCCCCCTCCCACACACACAGACACACACACACAAAAGGTGCATTGAGTGTGCTGTGTTCGGTGGGAATGTGCAGTCGAATCTGGAGTTGGGTGAGCGACTCTTCGGTGAGATGTTGAGTGTGGGCGTCAAGCCGACGGCCGTGACCTTCTCCATTCTGGTCAAGTTGTACGGCAAGGCCCGCATGCTGGACAAGGCATTCCAGGTCCACACATATACCGACTCATACCCACACAGATCCATGGGAGTCTGCCTGTGTGCATGTGCATGTGCGTGTCTATCTATGTGTGTGTGCAGATGATCGACGACATGGAGATGAAGTTCCACCTGCGCCCGTCGGTGCTCGTCTACACATCGCTCATACAAGCGTGCATCCGCAACAGACAGGTGGGGTGCCCTGCACACACAAACATGACCCGGCAACCATGTCCCATCCGTCAGTCCACCGTGTGTCTGCCTGTGTCTGACAGGTCAAGCGTGCGCTTGAGGTGTTTGACACGATGAACCGCAAGGGCGAACGCGGCGACGGCTTCGCCTTCGGCACACTCATCAACGGGTGTGCGTGCGCCCTGCACTTCGACGCGGCCATCGACATCATGCAACAGGCTGCCAACCAGGGCATCAAGGTACGTTGAAGCCGCCACCAGCACCCACCCCCACACACGTGAGCATCTTTGTGTCTGTGTGTTTGGGACACGTAGGTGCTGGCCGAGGTGGCGAACAACCTGCTTGGGGCTGTGTTGCGCAAGGGCCAGGAGGGCAAGTACGGCCCCACGCTGCTGTCCCTCATGCACCAGATGCACATACCCGTCCAGCCGAAGCTGCGCGAGCAGTGCGGTCCCAACACGATGCCGCCCCGACACACCAACACACCTCCTGCCGCCCACGGTAGCAACATCCACAACACTACAGCCACCCCGCCACCGACTGCCCCACCAACAGCCACAAGAAGCAATTCATGCGACAACACCTCAACAGTGCAACTCGGTACACATGGAAGCAGACAGACACAAACACGGCATCGCCTAAACACACATTTGTTGTGCGCTGTCCAGGTTATGAAGCGGGCGCATTAGGTGGCGATCTTCCGACGCTCCCGGTCCACACAGCACACGGCGAGATGCCGGTGCCGTCCCATGATAGCTACAGCTGTCGGCCCCTGTCGATACCTGTACCAGGGGTCTACGCGACCTCACGCCAACGCTCCCCATCTGTAGGCAGCGAAACCTGACAGACAGACAGACAGACACAGACGAACGGAACCACGATTGCGGAGCCAGACTTTGCACCAATTTGCTTTGCACTTCCTCTGCTTGCATTTCGTTGTTTGTAAATGACCAGGTCAGCCCTCCCCGCCCTCTCCGACTGCATTCCCTATCGCCCGATGCAGCAGTGCTGTCTGCGGGCGATTCCACGCCATTCGCCAAGCTACAAGGCGGTAGTGGGGGAGAGGATGGCGAAGGGTTGGCGGGTTTGTGTGATGACGACGCCACTCCGAGCATGTGTCGGCTCCGCGACCTGGCCAACCTCGCCCACACGCACACAGGTGAGTCAATCACACACACACAGAGCAGCGTGGAGACATTCTGTGTCCCATTGTCGAATGCAAATGGCATATGATCCATGTAGGTTCGCCCGATGGCTACCAGGAGAAGCCGGCAGCCACCCTTATCTTCGATGAGACGAGCAGCGACGCAACGCAGCAGCACCAGCACGAGCAGCAGCCATAGAGCCCTCCCCCCTCTCCCTCTCTCTGTGTCATTGGCTGCCGCTCCATAGCCACCCCTGCCTGTGTCCAGGGGCGGCATCCACTCTGTGACTGCATCGCCGGGGGGCAGTAGGATCGATGCGGGCGGATGTGGGTATGTGTGTAGTCGATGTACAGGTGTAGCGAATCAAGCAGCTGACGGGTTTGAGTCCCATCGCATTGGGTTTGGGGCATGGGTTGAGCGGCTGATAGGGCCATGGGAGACTCAGATGGGTGGGTTGGCTGGGTGTAGATATCGGCGGAGATGAAAACAGACATAGGTCTATTTGTTCGCGGCCCAACGAACGCACCGATTTGTGTGGGAGGGAGGGAGGGAGGGAGGGCTGTGTGCATATCCATGACGGATGGCTGGGTGTGCAGCGCTCACTCTCTGCATGATACATTCAATGTGTCAGTGAACGCACATTTGTGAAAGCACTCACCGATACACAACAATCCGCCATCTCACATTCTCTTTTGTTGAGCACAGCGAGAGAGAGGCCATCGGACACAAAGAGACGGAGTGCCAACTTCAGCTTCGTCTATATCGATTTATCAGTAAGTGGGTCAATTCGCCAGACTCAATTTATGTCGTGTGGCGCTGATATATACCAAGGTCATCTAAGTGTTCTCATCCCCATCTCCTCCCCTCCCTGGTCGCATTAGTGTCATGACGTCTCGCTTCGTTCCTCACCCTCCCTCCCTCCCTCCCTCCCTCGCTCCCATCTTCATGATGGCTCCCCCCCACAACACACACACACACACCCTTCCCCCCACCCACACCCACATAAAGCAGCCGGTCGTCCGGCCCGCACGCACTCCCGATTCGAGTACGCAGGACTGCCTGGCAGACAGCCACACAGCGTGACAGTGTGACACACATATGGCCACAGATGCAGTTGTCGATTACAAAGACACACAGACAGAACGAAGAAACAAACTGCCGGCGGTGCGATGCCAGCTGCTGCAAGCGATGTTTCCTTCCCTCCCATCCCCGACAGCAGACACACATACACACATACACTGCAGACGCAACACGCACCAACAAGGATTGTTTCACTTACTGAACTGGCTGGCTTGTGGGTGGTGGGTGAATGAGACGGTAGACACCTGTGGACCGACCGAGACAGAAAAACTGGCGACAACGAGGGATGAACACGCAGGCATGTGTGTGTGCGCGAATGTGTCTATGGTACAGGCCGACGCACACGAGAGAGTGAGCACAAGTGTGTGTGTGGACGAGTCAGTCGAGTGCCCGTCTCGTTCGTTTGATATCATTGGCGGCCGGATGCCGTGGTGCGTACGGTCAGCCAAGGGATAAAGAATGACTGACCGCATGACGTGACGTGTGTGTTTTAGGTTATCAGACTCTCTCGCCCGCCCCCGCGGAAGGAACCAGAAATCAAAGAAATAGGCTCATGCAGCCAGCCAACTTCACGCATGCAGCGCAACCATGGGCCCGCCCGACACAGACAGACAGACAGACGCCCCAGCCATCATCTGCATGCATCCACGCAGACAGACAGCGAATAATGACATGACAACACAAGGAAGGACGATCGGCCAGCGAGTCGTCTGCTCACCGCCCGCCTAGGGTCTGAGAAGGTTGCGTCCTGAGCCATTCTCAACCTCGTCCGCAAGCTCCTCGAAGGCGGCCCCTAACACCTGACGCAGCTCGGTGCTGTTCAGCACATCGTACTGGGCCACGGGTGCGTCTTCGCCGAGGTCGAAGCCCTCGTCGACGATGAAGTTGGTCTCATCGTCGACGGTAGTTTCATTGCCGCGACGGTTCAAAGAAAAACCCTGCGAGAAGCCAAGGGGTCTCCCGTCGGCGGTGCAGAAAAGGGTGATTACAGTAACGTCGGCACCACTTCGATGTCTCAAACCGCGGAATCTCTGAAACAAACGGACACACTCCCATAAGCGCAACGAGATCTCGAGATGCGCCTCTACACTTACACCCTGGAAACAATCGAAGAGGGCGTTACCCCTCCAGATGGTTGGTGGTCCGAAGGGTGGGCGCCCCCCTCGGCTGAAACCCATCCAGGTATGGAAGCCGCCAATGTGGTCGACCCTGCGAGACACACATAGCACGACTGTACCGTGCAGGTGGGATTCTGAGCATTCGGTATCTCACTCGAATCTTCTGCAGCTGCCAAAAACAGTTTGGATTGTCGGAGCCTGTGTGACGATACATGTGGGAGAGGCGGAATTCTCCGGAGAGACTCTGAGGAAAAGCACGGGTGCTTCAATACCGGGGCAGCGGTTGCACAAGTGAATTCTGTGGGCTGAGGTCCCGGGCAGAGCAATCGACGCGCTGAGCAGAGCCAGGGCAATCGCAGCGAAAGAGCGGGCCATGCTGAGAGAAGGCTGGAAAGGCTGACGGCCGCGTGGACAGCGTGTGTGAAGGCCTCGGGGTCCCTCTCCTTCGGGCACTGCTTCCGTTAGCGACACCGCTGCCGTTAGCGTCCTCGGTCAGCATCATCTTTCCAATTAGACCGCAGAAATTGGCAACCTTCCTGCCATTCCGTCTGCCATGAGTCGCCTGCTTCGACTTGAAGTCTGCCAATCGTCTCCTTCATTGCCTTCTGGCCCAAGCAAGGGCGATGAGTGAGAGAGCGGTTTGAAAAGGCGATCGTTTGCGAGCTTAAAGGGAAAAGGCTCCTACACGGTATCTGCTTAGCACTTATCGTGAGAAAGCCGCCCATCTTTGCTGTCTGGCGGCAGGATGGCGAAGAAGAAGATGACAGATCGTCAGAAGAAGAAACAGCGGCACCAGATCACCATAGAGGAGGAAGCCACGCTGCGGCACAAACAGCTCGACAAGCGGCGCAGGCGGCAGCAGAAGGACAAAAGCATGAAGGTCTGCCCAGCGCCCTGTGCACTCACATGCACAAAAGAGCCACCGGACAGTCCGACGAGACTCAGTGTCTGTGGTGCGCTGTGCGTTTTGTGTGCAGGAGGACACGCCGCCGACAAACGATGTGGCCGTGGCTCTGGCTCATTATGCGGCAGAAGCAGAAGCAGCCGCGGCTCCCGATGAGTGGCAAGACGTCGAAATGGTACACACACTCACACACACAGGGGCTAGACCTCTCGCTGAAATGGTTGTCGGTGCTGTGTGTGTCAGGCTGATGTGTCCTCACCCAGCAAGAGCAAGAGCCGGACCAGCAAGAAGAAGAAACTGCGGCTGCCGGTCAAGAAGGTGAGAGAGCACACGGATGGACACCACGCAGCGATGACTGACAGGAGAGAATAGCATTAAAATCATTCTCTCCTCGTGTGTGTTGTGTTCCATGATGCAGGACATTGTCAAGCGGCGCGACAAGAAGATCCTCAAACGAAAGAAGAAGCGACTGGGTGAGTGTGTGAGAGGGTGAGAGGGTGATGAAGGGGGCGTGGGTGCAGGCTGGTTGGTTGCCATGCTCTCCATCTCTGTGTGTGGTGGTTTCAGAGAGGGGCGGGAAGCCGTCGAGGGACAAGATGAAGATGGGCTGAGTCAGACAGACGGCTCCACCATCGCCTCACGTGACGTGCTGTGCTGTGCTGTGTCGATACGAGTACGAGGGCCCTGATTGATGTTTTCGGGATGTGTCTGTGTGTTCGTTGTGGCTGTCGGCCGGTACTGGCGTGTGCTGCTCCTGCGGCACTGACGAGGGCGTATTGACATATACGCACGTGTCCGTGGTGCAGAAGTTGGGTACGTCTGGTCCGCCACGCAGAGGTCAGGACGGACAGCCGAGATTAGCTGGCTGGACAGACATGGATGGACTGTCGCTAAACAATGGGTCGTTCAATGCTTCTCCGGATGTACGACACACTTCATTCACCCTGCAGCCCGCTTCTGTGTGGACCCAGGTCCATCTCAGACAACGCGTGAAACCACCCACACCCAGGCTATGCACACACTCACACACACAAGACTGTCCTCCCTGCCAGCCATGCAGCTATGCAGCCACCACCTCACCGAACGGACCTCTTGCTTCGCAACGGTCCTCACCCACACACATACACAAAAACTGGCGCGCACCCACCCCTTGATGGATGCCCGCACTCACACGTAGCCCTCCCTCCCTCCCCTTATCAACAACTAACAGCAAGAAGAACCGGCGACCTATTCATAGCTCTGTGTTGATTGACGTCTGTGTAGTCGGCGGGGTACTCAGTCGGGTGAGCCGCTCTGAGGCAATTAAGGGCAATTCACGAAGAGCTTACCATGAACAGAGGAGAAACACAATCCACATATTAAGTGAGCACACATCGGTGCTGACTGGCTGTGTGTGTCTGAGGTGTGTGATTACCCAGCGGCTTCCGAGCACTTGTCGAAGAGGCTGCCCTGCACCACACGGTAGTTGGCCTGTCGCTGACTCAGCGGAGGCAGCGAGCCAGTGGGCCTGATGGGACAGACAGACAGACAGACAGACAGACAGGTGAGTGCCCTTGCTGCTCAGTAGAGGCAGGTCGCAGTCACTCACTTGCCAGAGTTGATAAGGACGCCGTCGTCGTCGACCAGGATGGCAAGGTCGTAGTCGGCCCCACACCACACCAACTTAAAACCGATCTGTGGGGCGTCCGAGCAGATACAGTCAGTATTCACACACCTGAACAGGCAAGCAAATCTCTCTCACCCACGCACCTTAGACTGGAACTGGATGTGGCAGACGTCCTGTTTGTTGTTGCCCGCGCCGATGTGGCATGTGCACCAGGAGCCGCCCTGGGCGTCCGCAAAGGAACTGTCCTGAATGCTGCACACAGACGCAACATCAGCACACGCACACAACAGGTACTTAGGAGGAGAAGCATCAAAGGCGGCGCACCAACCACCCCAGCCCAACAACCGACCTGTTGGGGTTGATGACATGGGCCAAAGGGTTGGTCGCGTGCATGCCAGCCACTCGGTCTGACACATCAACCCAATGCAAAACGGCAGACAGACATACAGCCCAGACTGCCCTGCCCTTTGTTGTCTTTCCATCTCCTCCAACGCTCACTGTTATTGAGTTCGGTGGAGTACTCCATCTGCATGGTGCAGCAGTCCACGTGGTTGTAGTCCCCGAAGCAGTGGCCCGTCTGGTAGCTGTTCTTCAGCCCACACGCACTCACAAGCTGCCTCCGAACCTCAGAGAAGTCGCCGTTGAGGCTGACTTCTTTCGCGAGACTCTCGGCCTTTGCCATTCGGGCAGCGTTCAGTCCTGCCGGCTGGCCGGACACTGCTGCAAAGGCCGCAACGGAGAGGAGAGCGAGGATGGTGATGAGGGCCCGCATGAGGACAGCGCGGAGTTTGCGAGTCGATGCAGCCAGAGCGCTCAGACGACGGTCGTCAGTGCTGCTATGGGTGGCTCTGGTGCAAAAGAGAGCGGAAGACACTTCCCCTTCGCGCGACGAAATTTGCGAGCTCAAGCTGAGAACCGATCCGCTGTGGTGGTGCTTGACATTCCCTCTGGAGGACCCCAGACACGTGCTCAGACACTGCTGATGTGAACAGATGCCAAACCAGGCCGAAGATCATTGGATTCCAGCAAGAGCCGGTGTGAGAGATGTCCGGCGGTCCGCTTCTCACTGTGGCGAGGCGGAAGGGCCGCCCGTCGTGCCGGCTGCTGTGGATCTGTCGAGGAGAGCGCGATGGAAGATGGGTCAGACCGATGGTCTTTTTTGTGGCGCCCTATGGAGGCATAGGAGATCATTCGGTGCTGTGGAGGGTGGCCACGGAGATGGGTGCATGGGAGGGGAGGCGAGGCGGCGGCCTCTTTTTGCTGGACTCGTCAAAGGCGTGCTGATGCCGTTCGTTTGGTCGGTGGGTGTGGGCACGAATGCGGCACAGCACACGGAGGGATTGATTGGGTTTCAGCCACCGATTGCTCTCGGTTTTTCTGTGTTGGTCTGTGTGTGACGTGCACAGGTCTGTCAGGGTGTTTTTCAAGCCTTTCTTGGTCTATGAGGATTCACCGGACTCACCCACGTCATCGCACCGGGGAAGATCGTTATCACTACCACCATCACCATCGCCATCCAGAAGACACAGTCCACAGTATCGCATCGGCAACGCCTCCCGCCGCCTCATGACCGTCGTCACAGCCCTCCCCATCCTATTGGCGGCAGCGCACCTGCCGGCACGGTCCTACGAGGGTCGCTTGGATAGTGGTGGCGGTGGTGGTGATTGTGGTGTCCACGACTGCCTGTCTGAGTGTGCGGATGGGTGTCTCTGGGGCTGGGTGGGCGACGGTGTGTGCGATGAGAGCTGTCGGCAAGAGGACTGCCAGTTCGATCGCAACGATTGCCGTGACCACGGTAAGAGCGAGCCTGGCACATGCAGAGAGAGGGAGTTGCTCCCTGCCCACGCTGCTTTGTGTGTTGCTGTATGTGTGTGTGTGCGCAGGTCAGTTTTCGTCCCGCCGGTCGTCTCGTGTGTCAGCTTTGCGGGCCAGCCGTCGCCTGCAGACGAGCAACCAGACCATCAGCGCCAACTTCTCCAACCCGCCCCCTGCCATCCCACCCCTATCATTAGGCGCGTCACCCCCCGACGACGGCATGGCCTCCGACTGCCCCTACTTCAGCATCGATTTTCCCGAAGACGCCGAGGCGCAGCGGGGCATCGGGCGGATCGACGTCTACGGCACCTACAACCAGATCAAGGCGCCCTCAAACCTTTCCGACTTTGAGGCACTGTTGTCCGAGGCTGGCCTGTCCGCCCTGGCTGTTGGCGGCCGGCCTCTGTGGATGAGGATCGGCGGCACCGTCTACCGCATCCCGCAGTCCAGGTACCCGATGATGACCCCCCAGCCCAACGCACCCCGGACCCTCGCATGGTGTGCGAGGGAGGGCAAGTGGGTGCTGGCCCTCGTCGGTGAAGGCGACTCCAAGAGGGGGGAGTACGGTGACGGAGCGGGGGAGACGCTGTACGTCCCGAATGCGATCGACTGCTCGCCGCTGAGGGGCAAGGTGCTGGGGGGCTATGGGTGGGGGAACGGCGCGCTGGCGTCGATGGAGGGCGGGAGGGGCGGCAGGGCGGTGGTGTCGGGCCATCGGGACCGGAGGCAGCCATGGTTCCGGTTGCAGGACAGCCGGGACTTTGAGCTGGTCTGCAAGCCTAGTGGTGAGACCATACCATAGGACACCCATCACACTGCACCAACTGTGTGTCATGTGTCTGTCTGTCTGTCTGTGTTTGTCAGCATCGTGTGAGAGGAGCAGCCTTGATCCGTCCATCAAGCTGCGGGGTCCGCCGCCCGAGGAGTCCGGCCGGCTGATCGACCAGATCTACACCTCGGTGCTCTACAAACCGCCACGAGAGGTGGCCTTCACCTGCAAAAGCGCCAACGCCGAGCTGGTCGGGGCCACACAGGGGCTGTGTCTGCTGAGGGGACGGTGGGTGCTCAATCAGCCCTCGCCGCCCACTTGCAAGTTCGCAGGTGAGCAATGGGGGACGACGCGTTTATTTATGCGGCATTCATTCATCCTGTGCATTCTGTGCATTCATGTGAACTCTGTGCATTCTGTGCATTCATGTGAACTCATGTGTGTAGAGTGCGAGTATGGCGAATGGAGTGAGTGGAGCGGCTGTTCGCTCGAGTGCGTGCGGGGCTCGCGGCTCGGCAACCAGACACGAACCAGGACTGTGGAGGTGGGCGGCAATGCTGCGCAGGCAGCCAGCGGCAACGTTTGTGCCAACAGAACAGACAGCTGTCTGTGTGTCGTCCGTCTCTCTGCGATTGTGAGCAGGGTTCGCCTGACGAGGATGGCTGCTCCAACACACTGGAGGTCAGGGAGTGCTTGGGCGTCCGGAAATGCAGAACAGGTGGGCGGGATGGAGAGATGGAGAGAGAGAGAGAGATGTGTGACGTGATGTCAGGTGACGGGATCGCTCCATGCATGTGTGTGTGTGTGTGTGTGTAGAGTGCGAGTACGGTGCGTGGGGTCAGTGGAGCGAGTGCTCGGCCACCTGCCGCAGCGACGCTGACATGGGCACTCAACGCAGATCTCGCTCTATAGAGGTACACCCCCTAACAGACACTCGGCGACATTTATGTGGTGCCTTCCATGGCTGTTGTCTCTACGTGTGTGTCTGTGCAGGTGTATGCTGAAGACACAGATGGCGAGCCCCTGCCGGCGTCTGAGTGCCTCGACACCACACAGCCACGGACATGCCCTGACCTCCCGAATTGCCGTGAGACACACAGACAGAGGCGCTGACAGAGATCGCTCCCATTCATTGTGTCCCTGTGTGTGTTGTTTGCCCCCCCATACCGTCACCAGCCTGTGAGTTGTCTGATTGGGGCGACTGGAGTGAGTGCCTGTCGCCATGGGGCGACGACTGTGGACCAGGCAAGCAGAAACGCTCCAGAACCATAGAGGTGAGCTCAACAGATCAGCCAGCAATGGCGTGCAAAGCTATCGTGGCATACATATGTGTGGTGGGGTGCTTCTCCTGCCGATTTCTTGTCACCAGCGTGATGGTGCGGACTGCGCCCACCTGTCCGAGGAGCGGAACTGTAACCTCAAGACATGCGCACGTAAACCGACACACACACACGCGCACAGAGAGAGAGAGAGAGATCCGGCTCCCACACTCCTAACCACCTTCCTCTGCTGTCCTCCCCTCGCCCAGCCCGGCCGCGGCAGCTGTCTTTGCGAGACGACTGCCCGCAGGTGTCGCCGAAGTTTCTGGCTCTGCGGTTCGAGGCGCCCTTCAACCCCACGAACAAGGAGGAGGGCGGGGCGTGGGTGACCATGTGCTGGTTCGATCTCAGCAGCGCCACACCGGGGGAGATCTCCCAGGTCATGAGCGGCCAAGGCGACAGCGAGAGGCCCGTCGTCACCTTCGAGGACTACTTCTTCTACTACGTCAGAAGTACGTGTGGTGGCGGGGGGGCGGCGAGAGATGGCATGAGTGTCCATAATTCTCTCTCTCTCTCTCTCTCTCTGTGTGTGTGTGTGTGGATGGTGCAGACAACAACAAGTCTGTCGAGTGGCGGCCGGCATCGAGCAGCAGCGACAGCACGTACAGCTGCAATGACGGGAGGGACACGTGGGAGATTCCGATGCTGCGCGTGGACCAGGAGCCCATCAAGGACCCCATCAACCCCAACGACAGCATGTTCCTCGTCGAGATCGCCTGTGACGAAGAGGGCAACCCTATCATGTGACGACGTGATGCGTATCGTATACGATGATCCGACTTACAAGATCTGGCTGGCTAGACAGCGACAGAGAGATATGTCATGGGAGGGTGGCTGGGTGAATGGTGACCGATCTAGCCAGTAGATGTATAGGTAGGCCAGTACGCCCGCCTCCCCTATTTCCCCCTCCCCCTCC